ATCACCTTGTATACTACCGATATACGTTGACAACCTAAACAAATACCATAAACCCATTCCCCTAGAAGGGGTGGAAAAGTTTTAAAATTTTAGTACTGTAAGTTAGACCAAAGGTAAAATCTATAACATACTTTCACCAAAAACCTGTAGTCAAACATTTTTTTTTTCAAAGAAAAATCAAAAAACGGTGGAAAAGTACACTTTACCGCAGTGAAGCAACTGTGAACAGGTAATTAAAATATGTTCATTATATTGTCAATTACGATGTATGGGTAACTATGGCAATACATTTTTATCATAGTTGAAATAAACATGTTATTGCACATCTTCAGTCGTCTCGAATCTTCAGACATAAAATAGCAGCGTAAGGAGATATAAATTTTACTATATACTTTACTATTACTATAGATTTTACTGTGTATTTATATGCTTGATTTTGATTGGCTAGCCTTTATGCTGACATTTCTTTCTCTATAATCGAATATTTGATGAAGAAGAGGTATATGTGTAATAAACTTGTAAATTTCAATCTCGATTTTTATGTACAGACGATCAACCCTAATCGCCTGTAATCATAATACTAAAAATTAATTTTTAAGCACACAATTGTTAATAGGTATAATGCTTTTATCGATATTTGTATTTTTATCTGTGAACTCAGGACCTGCATAGAAGCGTTTATTTAAAAGTGATTTCATGACTGATTTCAGTTTTAATAATTCCTGTAGGCCAGTGACCTTCCCATCCCTACTACGCCCCTACCCCACTGTACTAGTTTTTTTTTAACTTGATTTCTATGTAAAATAAACTAGTCTACAGTGTGTAGAAAAAGTAATTTTGCAAAAACTTATTTACTTTTAACATTAAGTCAAAATTTTAAATACTTGTTTTTTATTTTAATTTTGGCGGTTATAAAAAAATGCTAATAGTACACATGTATCATTAGTATTTTTTTATAAGCAGAACTCAGTACTCTGCAAAATTAAATTTTTGAAATTTGTAGTAGGCTATTGAAACTTTTTGAGTTATGATTAAGAGTCTAAATCAATTTGCTTTTTTGACGAAATATTTGTTTCTACTTAATCTTTTGTGCCTTATTTATGGGCTTATATTTCGACCGAAAATTCAGAATCTTAATTGGTTTTTTTTAGATTTTTTAACAAGATTTAACATGCAAATACATTACTTTGACACGGAGTTTAGACTTTGTTCTTCTTAGTTATAGGTTATACAATGACCCACGTATCTAATGTTTACATTAGAGAACTGAAATTGAAATTTAATATATATTTTGGCCTAACTATTGACTTTGTAAAAATTTCAAAACGAAAAAAAACACTTAAATAAATCAAATATATAATTGGACATAATAGTATTTTGTTTTTAAAATTGTATCACAGTCTTACAAAAAAATGTTTCAACTGTTACAAATATTCAAATTTCAAACAACTTTAACGATATTGAGATGCTAAAATTTAAATAACATACATTATATGATGTATAATCAGGGATTGGCAAAATACAGTATCTTTTCGACTAAATACAAAATACAAGATACAATTATCTTACATCTTATAACTTAAGATAATTGTATTTTGTATTTAGTCGAAAAGATACTATATTTATGAAGTATTTTAATTTAATTATTTTTTAGTTTCCCAAAACTTTTTATTTTATTTTTTTAATTTATCCATAAATTCTAATGGTGGTCTTTCTATAACATGTTTTAATCAATAAATTACACCGACTCTCCTATGGCGTTTCCCTTTGTCCATGTATTTTTAACAGCTATACGTGGCGGATTTTCTTTACTCCAGTCAGGCAAAGATGAAGACGTTATTTCCAATAGGCGTTTCCACGAGTAACATTATATTTTGACCGTATCATTAAACACGTGTTGACTTTTAATAACGTAATCGATCAAGATTTCAAGCATTTTATCAGCGTAACTAGCTCTAAGATACAAAAACAAAATAATATTTACTCTAAGTTACTGACAGCTATCCGATAAATGTGATCATGTTCGTGTAATGGCATAAATTAAACACTTAATTTGCGAAAAAAAGTTCATTATAATATTTACCACGGTTCATTTTGAAAGAAACTTGATGTTTGCTACATCCAATTATACCTAAGTAAACGCGGCAATGAAATCTCAATATCATACTTTACTTCGATTTTTTTTCTTGGCGCATAAGAAAGAAGTATAATATGAAAAAAAAACACATTTTTGTATACATACCTTTTTATTAAAACTATTCGGTTCAATTGTTTTTAAAATGTGCTTAACGTTTAAAATCGACAAATACCAAACAGAAGAAAAATTCTGTTGATTGTAGTATTTGTATATTTTCGACAAATACAATAATCACTGACTTGTCAAAACGTGTAATAATTATTGTCATTAGTAATAATATTAGATACTGCAGGTAGAGCAGAAAATATAATATTATAACATTGAAGACATCGAATAACAAATATGACTTGCGTTTTTTAATTATTACTGTGGATCCTGAATAATAGAAAATAATATGTAATTTTGAGTAGTAACGTGTTTTTTAATTATTTTTCAAAATCAACTGCACAAGCGATAACTGCTCTAATCACAAAATATATTATTTTACTATACATATTCACTCAATATCGTCAGCAATAGAGGTAAGCCTAATTTACACTAGAGTCTAGTCACTCTAGAGAGATAATATGCTTTGTCCTAATTGGGCTAGCTTTTTGGCTTTGCAATTTGTCGTTGTTTAATTTTGTATGCACATAAGTAATCTTCTTCAGATGAGTCCTGTTGGGGGAATTAAGATTCCGAGAGATAGTTCCTAGCGCTGTTGAGAAAAAGTAATATGTTGTTAATATTAAAATAGTCTTGTAACACTAGGCAAGGCATTATTGTGTCTACTGTAGCTGGCAACAACAGATGTTATATTATTACCAGTGTTGTATTTGTCGCGTTTTTTTCAACCTATCTAGATATGTTCGAACAAAATCGTTTCTCGATTAAGTACTACATAATACCGTTGTTGGCCGTTTAGCGACATGGTATATAATATATTTTATAACGTTATAGCGGCGCTTTAGAACATTTCATTTTTGTTCTGCGGCTGCCGCGAATGGCTTTGGCATCGTATAATAAATGGATATCGCGGAGAGGGAAAACATAGAATCACATACATACATACATACGAAATGTGTATACGAGATGGTTCCCACATGAGAGCACCTGGCCTGTTCTACCAAAATAATTCAGTACCGGATAAAACGATTGACCGACTCCATTATAAACAAAACCAATAGCGTTTTACGGTGATCGGCGTTTTTTCTTATTATGAAATCCGATTATCTGGTAATTGACCGACTGCGAGCAAGACAATTCTTTTGAGAACGCAATTTATTTTCAATGATTTGTTGTTGAAAACAAAATGCTCCATAAAGTCATGCTATAGTTGTTGCCAATAATAGTATAACGTCAATCGTTTCCTAAACTAATTCACCTATGTTTGATTTCTGCTTTTCTTATTTTATATCGGTTAAAAATTGAAATATCTCTAAGACGCGAAAACTTTTACCTTTGGAATATTTTAGATTTTCATCGATTTTAATTTATCCGTAGAGTAATTATATAAAGAGATGAACTAACATTACTAAACCCTATTTGCGCATGTAGACTGAAGACCAAGCAACCATATTTTACAACTAACATTTATTTTATTTCCAAACGAACAAATCATTTAAAATAATAAAATCATAATATTATAAAACACGTACCTACCAACTGAAGACGAGGGACGGAGTTCTCGAAAAAAAGCTTGTTATAAGAAGTACCTACAAGGTTTTTCATATAAAAACCGCAGCATATCCATACACTTGAATAACATACCAGAACTGATAAATTGGAAGCAAAGAGTACCTTGCTGATGAATTCATTGGAAAGCGTAGAAATACATCTTAGAGGAAATATTTTTCGTTTGAAATAATTGGGATTGCCTGATTTTTATAAATATATATATATATGATATACTGTATAATAAATTACTACGGTTGTATTTTAGACACAGACGTCGTTGCCTTGAAGGTGTTCATTACAGATTTGAAACTGCATAAAATTATATTTTATTGATTTTGTTTTTTAGATACAAGTCATTAAAATATGAATACGTATTTCAAAAGTAACAAGAATCAACAATAAAAATTGGCTGCTAACAATCTGGGCGCGCATCAAAAAGCTTTATTATGTAATAAGCAGATATTTTATTGATACCGACTGCGACAATACATTTTTATTATGGTCAAGAGTTTACATTGAAATAATTGCCACCTTATAAATAATGAACATATTCTTTTTTTTTTCCAATAAAGTATCGTTTAGGTATGATTCTTGATCTATAGAGTTGCTACCCGGAGAAATCGGTTCGGAGATTTAATGGTAATCGTACAAGAAAATACAAATAAAAACACATTATTGTAAAAACAACATCTTCTCAGCGCCGCATCGAAGCAAAAATAAAAGTGACCAAAAATTTTCGACATTTTTAACCTTTTTTTTTCTTTTATTCTTACACTATTTAAAAAAGTGGTTTTTTAAAACTATCAAATTAAAAAAAAAAAATCTCCAATGCAATAAATGCGTTAATGCGTTAGATACTGAAGGAAACCCCATACATTAAACTATTTTCCCATAAGTATAATTATTTTAAAATGAAGTAAAAATGTAAACTTTCACGGGTGTCCCTCAATTCTGAAGCAGAGGGAATGGGGTTGTTAATTGTATGCCTTAGATAGCACCTTCGGAGTATGATTTTTAAACTATAGACCGCATGAAGGCAAATACTAGATTTCATGATACAGACCAATGGTAATAAATTTCCGTATAAAAAACGAGTACATTGACATTGACACCTACACACGCGAAGCAAATAGTAATATGATCATTTTTAACGATAGCAAATCGATAAAATAAATATAATATATAGCTGCCTACTATGCCAGTTGTTGTACGTAAATGGTTACGTTACAAATTTATCCTTCCATTGAATAATGCCGTTATAAAACATCAAGTCAAAAGCAAGATTTTCTATTTTCTATTACAAGTTTTAGTGCTAACCAGTAAACTACTTATATCACGTTTTACCTTTTCGCTTAATTGTAATGTTTATGGTTTTTTTGTTGTTTGGCTTGTGCGTAATTCCAAACTATATAGAATGCAGGCCATCAGAGGTATGCAATTTTTGACACTACTAATTGTACCTACAAAAATAGTAGAAACATAAAATAAATAAATGAACCTTCAATCTCAAACTTTCCGCTTATAGTCAAAATCAAATTTCCATTGCAATGCATGGTTGTATAGTCCTAATAAATGAATAGAATCGGGTATAAGGCATCTCCTAGCACTCAATCATAGCAAATCCCACTTGTATTCGGTTGCGACGTGGAACAACATTGATGAGCTATTCCCAAACCATGCTCTCAGATTTCGAAACCATGATATTTTTCTTCTGCCAGGTCCTCTCTTTTCAAATATTTCGCCTTGCAGAATGGATTGAAGTACAGAATATTTACTCTCATTTCCCGTGATGTGTCTCAGGCTTTATAGGTCTTTATAGACCTATAAATAAATGGACTGATAGTAGAGAGAGAGGTCCGATTATCGACATCGTTAAAAAGAGACAGAGAGAGTTGTTAGGTTTGGCATGGAAGAAATAATATCATATGTAATATGATATTATGAAATAGTAATATGATAAAACCCGATAACGAAATTTTTATGTTAAACATTTTTAATTTATCTTATTAAAATATTGAATTGTAATTGTCATCAGTTTAATTTCTCATAATGGTTTTCCAATGTATAATTTGAACTCGACGGCTGCTTTTAGGTACTCTGATTTTGACCTTCTCATTACGTGACCCAACCATTTGATTCTTTTTTGAAATCGACACTCGACAAATACCTGCCACACATTTTGTTTGTTTTCAAACTTTTTTTCTATAATCTGCCCAACCACCGACAGCTGATCTATTTTCGATTTCCTTTTTTTAAATTTGCATTGGTACTCCCCTATACATACTAATAGTATGTAAAACAATATTAACAATATTTTAGTATAACAATAATTTACCAACAATAAATTGTCTGTAGAGTTTGTAAAGAAAAACTGTTTTTCAAAACATACTTACATGTTTTATAAAAAGTAAAACAGAATGTTCATTGATAAAATCTGAATGAAATTGTAATGTTTCTTAAGTATTTATTACCGATATATACTATACATAGCTATTTAAAACAATACATTATACCGCCGCCCCAGTAGAACAATGACACAGCTGCAATAATTGACATTTTACAGGAGAACCAAAAAACCAAATTGCTTTTCACTAAAATGATAATTCATGAACGCACAATTAATTATTACAACTACAGTTACGTCGTTTTTGTACCTTATGCGTTCGCTATATCTGTTTAAATATAGCGATTGAAGCATTCAGTCCATTTTATCAAATTTTGCAATTGTCATTGTAAATATTATTCTACCGGGGCGGCGATACGAAAGTATTGGATACCCGACAAAATAATGAAATGCATATCCTTAAATGCATTACAACTTCGAATAACACAAAAATAAATAATAATTAAATATGGTTTAATTATTATATATTTCCATATGTGTGTATCGTCATATATATGGGGCATTCTGAGTCAAACCACGCGTTCATCGGCCTGACCACCTCAAATTTTTATTTTAAAATTCTTTTGGTTTAATATAAGACTATTATTTTTTTGAAATTTTTTTCACTAATTTTTGCCCCAAAAATAGAGGTTATTTAAGTTATTTTTCAAAAAAAATAGATTTCGACCGGTTTTAAATTTCTGAAAATTTTATCATAAAATCAGAGACTTAAACTAAGTCTTTTCGTCTAATAACGGGATTGGGCCGAGATTTATTTCTATTTTTTTTTTTTTTATTAGACATTTTTTTTTTTCAAAATCTGAAAAAAAAAATTTCAATTTCAGTTTTCTTATTTAAAAAAAATAAAACATGTCTTGGTAAATTTTGATTTTTTGCATATTTTGGGAGTAAAAAGTGAAAAATTTTCCTTACGAATATCATTAAAAATAATACAGGGGCATAGTGTGGACGCAGAGTGCCACGCGGCATCTGAGGTTAAGCTGTGTTCGTTGTTGCTTGATCCAGGATGGGTGACCACCCGGAAAATTTTTCATTATGAAAAAAAAAATAGAAATAAATCTCGGCCCACTCCCGTTATTAGACAAAAAGATTTGATTTAAGTTTCTGATTTTATGATAAAAATTTCAGGAATTTGAAACTGGTCGAAATCTGGAAAAAATAAAAATGTCTTATATTAGACCAAAAGAAGTGTAAAAAAAAAGATTTCGAAAAAATTCAAGGAGGTCAGGCCGGTGACCGCGTGGTTTGACTAAGAATATCCCATATATATATAATTTTATTATTCCATTTCTTTTCAATTTTTATTCCATGGGAAACCTAACAACTCTATCCATCTCTTTCTAATGATGTTCATAACGTGGCAGTATAGGTGGGGTGTGTGGGAGGCGCAGTCAATTTCTTTATAGGTCATGGTCCCCGGTATTGAAGCTCTCTGATCTCAATGGTGTTAATGAGCTTAGTGTCTTTGTTCGTTTTTCTGAGAACTTCTATGTTTTAATCCGGGCGGTCCGAGGTATTTCCAGCATTCATCTATAGAACCACATCTGAAGTGCTTCTAATTTCTGTCTGTAATGCCATCATTCAGAGTCCGGGATTCCACTCTTTCCCCAGTAGCACCCTTGTTTCACTCTTTCTATCCAGCATGTGTCCAATAAAAAGATTGACAATGGGCATATCTAACATAAACAATGTTCGTATAATATGTTTTAGGTGAGCTCGAGTAAAGTGATGGCGTACGACAGACAATGGCTGTTGTTAATAAATCAAATTCCGATGGCGAATTCGCGTTATCTGTCCCAGCGACAAATCGATCGGCTGTCTGAGAACGTCGCGGATTCGGAAGACGGCCAAGCATTGTACGCGGAAAAAATGAAAGAACTCAAATGCATTTACGGCGGTATCGTTCAGCGTGTGTTCAACTATATGGATGGCGTACTCGAGAATAGCCAGACCGGCGAGGACTTGGCGAAAACAGGGCCGTTGTTGAAAGAATTCAAAAAGTACATAGCCAAAATGTTTTCGGCGCTGCAGCTGGCGAACGACCGAACTTACCCGTGGATGTGGCAAGTTTACTTCTTGCTGTACGCTGTAGACGAGTCAAACCCTGCGGAGTTCGGTGCCACTTACGAAACCAACACTGTGTTAAAAGGCGACATCGACGCTTTTGTGGATTGCTGTATCAGCCAACGCTATCTGAAACCTTCATCGTCGGGTTCGGCTTTGGACACGTTCAGAGCGACAAACGCCGAAAAGATGGTGGTCGAGGGTTTGGCGGCTGCTCAGGAACCGCCGGTGCAAGGGCAAACCCAATGGACCTACGCCTATCAAAACGCCGACCGATTTGCCGTGGACCGAGTGTTACTGAAAGGACTCAAGGCGGACAATGCGTTCCAAAAGTCCCGAATGAACGGTTTCCACAAGAGAATAAAAGACCGACTATTCGCCGTTTGGGAGGCGCCCAGGAGTGCTCTGTACTTGAAACAGGTCGATCTCGTCGATCACCACGCATTGATCGCCAAGTTGATAAAAATCTCTATCGCTCACTTTGTTTGGATGCACTTGTACAAGTTTTACCAGGTCAAATCGACCGTCGGTATCCAATCCTTTATGGATAGGTTGGCGTCGCCTTTAAACGACGCCGTCGCGTTCTTGGACACACGCACCGATGAGTTTTACAATGTTTTGCTGTCGAACATCCTGTCGAAAACGGTCAGTGTGGCGACGTTGCCGAGTCTTTTGAATAAGGCCAAACAGAATTTTGTTAAGCATTTTCGCTCGTTAAGTTTACACAAAGAGAGCGTAGACGACGTAAAAATCATTGAAACCATGACAAATTATGATATCAAACTCGATTCTAATTTTGCCGCCGACTTAAAAGGGTACGTCGATTCACAAAAACGAAAACTCACTGATTTTTTGTTCAAGTTGATTGACTTCTACAAATTAAGCCAAAGCCCAGTTGAAAGTAATTTAATTTGAATTTAATATATAATTGAAGGTAATATTATTACTATAGATTAGTATAAGTACAGTTTAAAACAATTGCATGGTACATAATTAAAATATATTAACTTACATTTACCATGAATCAAAACTTATTGTAAAAATGTAACTGTACTAAAATAATTTGTAAAACATTGTGGAATAACAATCACAACCCCTTTATAATGATTTACACTATGGAGATAATTAGAATCATATTATTTTAAATGTTACTTTTCCGTACGTGCTAATAAAATCTAATACATATTATATACATTTTTTTTTATAAAATATTTAATTGGTTTAAAATATTATAAAAGAGATATTTGATATTAGAAGTTCCATTAGAGCAATGGGGGAGGCAATGGACAAACATAGTTTGTAAGCATTGTTGTGCAATAAAAACCTATGAATTTCCTTTGTCAATTCTTTGTGGGACACCCTGTATATATACATACATAAGTTATAGAAACGTCGTTAATAGTAATATACAAGTTGATAAAATGGATAAAAGGCTAAGTATATTAAAGTGTTTTTCAATTAAATTATTAAATTATATTTTAATAACGACAGTAAATAAAATATGTAATATAAAAAAAATGATTATATTACTCGAAATAAAACAAATTAATGTTAACTGACAAAATCTAATACTTATAATTTATTATAATTGCTCAGTATTTTTATTTTACAAAAGAAAAAGCCTTGACTACAAAGTTCAATAGCCTGAATCGGGGGGTTACAAGTTATTTTTTGTATACAAAATTAAGGGATGTGTTATAAAGTAGGGACAGTTTCAAGTAAATATAAAAAACAAGAAAGTAGTGGCTTGCGATAGCCGAATTGCGAAACATAATTTTGAGTATAAATGTTTTCGACGTATCGAGTAAAGGCGACTAAACGTGTGTTATCCCTAGTGGTTAAAGTCAACTGGTCGTTGTTTAGTTGCAAGTCAAACTCATGCTTCCGACGTAAATTTCACCTAATAAATAACATTCTAGCGATGTTTGGTTTTGATATTATATATTATTCCAAAATATGTAAAAATGTATGTCCAAATAACGGAAATTTAGTTTAGGTTAATTACTGTGCTCAATAATATCACAAATAAAATAAAACTAGACAGTCCACTTCATAGTAAAACAATAGATTTTTAAATAACGATTTTTGATTGGGTTAAACATAATGCAGTAGGGCCATATTACAGTACGGCAAATATTATACACACTGTTTACAGTGTAATAACGAAAACTGAATCGCTGACAACAAGTAATTGAATAACGATGGTAGAATTATTAACGTGGATATGTTACTGGACTGGATACAAAAAAGTTCATGTCGTCATTTTCGCGTAACAATATTTAAAAAAATATTAAGAGATAAGATATTAGAGATATGAGTAAAGGGATAAGAGATAAACAAATTCATAATTCAATGTTTTTCCGTGGATTTATTTTTGAGTCCACTATCTGGTTTTATTTTAGTCTGAGATAATACAAAACCAAACATAATAAGCGACCAGGATCCCTTGCGCCCACTAGTGCCTACTACACGGGCGGGCGCTGGGCAGGAACACGTGTGCGTACACTTGTGAGCTTTTGCTGTGCGTGCACTGAAGTTTGGTCGGCAGCGGCGGTGATGGTGGCGGTGCAGCGGTGAGGTGAGGTGGAAGGCCGTCGCGCGTCTCACGAATTTTTGACAGAACTCATAAGAAACAATATTCATGACGAAAAAAAAAAAGAAGTTTTCTAAATAATTTCACGATATTAACTCCTAAGCGTGTACGCGTGTATGACCTTACCGACAAAATATGGGTTCTGTAAATACCGTTTGGCGTCCTAGAAGAAACTTTGCGCAGTTTAGTTACAATTCAGTATCGTGACAACCAGGTGCGGATTGTCGACGAAATGACGCTTTCGAAATTATCGCCAACGACGATCGTCTTGAGCCTAGTGTCCTCTTTGAGCCTGATGGCCTCGTTATGCCCTCCGCGTGCACTGTCGCTGGAAACCGGTTACGATCACGACCCAAAGAAAAACCCCACGACGGCAGAACTGTACAAAGACTTGAAATGCGCGTATCAGATGGCCTCAATGACGCACATGCGGTTGGTGAAGCTCATGCTGGAAGACAAAACCATTAAGACCGGTGTGGCGATCGGTCTGATGATGAAGTACAACATCCGGGGGGTGATATGCACCCTGTACAACGTGGCCGATGTGAAAATCGGCTCGCTGTGGCTACTACTGCTGTACGCGGGCACGGTGTAGTCTAATTACGAACACCGCGTGGCCAACGAGGCGGACGAAGCCAAGAAAGCGGCGGCCGTGGACGAAATGGTGGACAACCACGGTTACGTGACGGGTGAAATGCAAAAGGAATTGTCTGCCGCCGGTTGTCGACCGGGCAACCGGTTCGACTGGTAAGATGAACAGTACGCGCTGAAGATGGCCGCCATGCCGAGCGGCAAACTCAAATTGTACCATCTCCAAACGGTGGGGATCAGCAACTGCCAGGGTCTGGACAGTCTGTTGGACGAGAACGACGCCAAATCCACGTACAGGACGCGGTGTGAGGCGTTGAGGTCCAGACATCTGTTCATCAGCAACCCGGGCATCAACAAACATCTCAAGACCATGCTGATGACCGCTTACGACGTGCATGTCAGCTGGGGCGGCGCATTCGATTTGCTGGAAAACGACTACGATTGCGCGCACAATATGAACTCCCCCGCCGTTGGTTTCTTGCCCTTGTTTAGCATGAAGAAGTATTACAGCGGCGTCTTTAGTCTGCACGAAGGCATCAAGTGCCGGCTGATGTAGAACATTTTTTTGTACGTCAATGCGTTGGCGGATCAACTTCGAGATGATTACTTGAAAAAACGCCACGACTTGCTGATGGATTTCCAGCAGCCGTTACGCCTCCAAGACGATCCGGACATGGTGAGTTTGCTGGACCGCCTCGGCAGTAACGCCGTAGTCGTAGACGGCGTTATCCAGCTGCTCCGGCAAAAGCTGCACCGGGTTAACGTTAATCTCCAATGCGTGGCCACCAACGAGATGACTCTGAACATGCAAACAATAGCCTAAAAACCGCACAGGCTTTCTTGGATGATCTCAGGTCCGCTTTCGAAATGGTCGATTTTGGAGTGATCCAATCGATTGTCAAGTACATAGATGAAGAGGCGAAATGTTGAGCGTTGTGTGTGGCAGGTCATATTTGTAGTAATGTCTAATAATGTAATAATATATTGTAAAGACCTGATCAACGCAGTTTCGTTAACATAATAATATTAATAACCAGTTTAAAAACCTATTCGAATTATATGTTAACCAGTGATACCGTGTGAAACTTATTACTTGTTTATCAAACATGTTTAACATTATTATTAAAAACATTATAAAAAAAAACAGATTACTGTTGTTTTATCACCTACAACGTGTTTTGGTAATATTCCATTAAAACGTGCGACGGTTAACTATTAACTCGATTCATCGAGGATAATAACACTCAAAATAATTACAATTTTGTAATGTTCATTTTGAAACATTTTATCATCGATCCGGAGCTGAGAAGTTATGATATTTATAATGATATGTTTTTATTTATTTATATCAGCTGAGCTGATTTCGTTGTGTAGTAGCTGTATAGATCAGAAATTGTACCCAAAAGGTACTTTATTGGACAAAAAATTTAAAAAATTTACCCCTTCTCAATCGAGAAAACGCTCAAAAAATGACGATGCTCTAAAACATTCTAAAAAAAGTAGAATAAGTTCCAAATTTGTATAGAATATTCTTTAAATATAATACCACCAATGACCATTGACAACCGAAAAATGTTTAAACTATTTTTCCCCTAGAACGGATAGGCCTTTTATTATAGTCGACTAGCTGTTGTTTACAACGATGTCTTGATCACAATCATACCTTAATAAGGTCCCTTTTACCATGAACGGTCACATTATAGCTTAAAGTACCCGAATATTTTATAATTTTGTTTTATTTTTCAGGCGACTGAGGCATTTGTTTCAGGTGACACCGCAACGGGGGCGCTAAACTTTGACAAATTTTTTGAAATAAAAATATTAGTCTACCTTATTTTCAGGTGGCACTTAAGAGTCTTAGTTAAAAAAAAAATGTTTGAAAATTCTACTGTTATCATTAATAATGTTTTATGAATAACTTTGTATGTTTTTTGAACACTTAATATTATTTAATTTTTTAGGGGGGGGGGGGTGGACGCATATATTCAAATTTGTCTCAGGCGGCAGAAGAGCTTGCTACAGCTCAAAAAGCAAATATATAACAAGCTATTTGGCGAAATTGGGCCATATTGGGATTATGTTGGTTTATATATAAGATTTATATAAGTACAATTATTCAGGGTACAACAATTATTCCTATATATTTTAAAATGGAAAGCGTGTTGATTTCAAATTATTTTTCAACACATTATTATGTGCTAAATTTCAAATTGTAAAATTGTTTTCGTGATTGTGTATTGATTTAGAAAAGTCTAAATAGTGAATAACATGTATACACATGTTATTCACATCGATACGAGACTTAAAAACTAAAAGACTCTAAAAACAATGGAAAAAATTGTGCATTTTTATTCACAATACTTCAAGGTCTTTTATAATATACTAACGCGTTTAATAGTACGAAAAATCTGGGTACATAGACCGTTTTAAGTATTGTTATATGTATTATTATTACTCGTATGGTTATTTCATATCTACAAGAATTTATGGTAAAAAAGACACAAAAAAAAATATTACCGACTGTGTGTTGTTTATACACTTTATTGTTTTTTATAATATACTAGCGCATTTCATACAACGAAAATTCACAGTATAAAATAAAAAATAACACATTATTAATTGGAAACCTAAACTGTGATCTCTGGTTAGAGTTTTGTACACGTTAGAAAAAAATCCAGATTATTGTAATTTTATTTCCAGAAGATTTTTCCAGATACAAAAAAAAAATAGTAATATATGATTTTTGTTGTATATTAATTATATCATTTATATCCGGTGATCGAGGAATCATTATAAACAGTAGGTAGCTAATCGACTTAACAAAATGCATATCCCTTCTAGGCAAAAGAGTTAATGAAACTCTTTTTCAATGTTTATCGGTGGTACTATGTTTTCAAAATGTTCCATACAAATTAGGAACTAATTCGACTAGTTTTAAACAAGTTATAAAGCATAGTAATTTTAAGTTGAAAAAAATGTACATATTTTTGCCGTTTTTCTTCATTTAAAGGGGAAATACAATGCCTTTTCATAATAATGTTTTTTTTATAATTTTTTTAATAAATATATATATATATATATTGGATAAATAAGTATCAAGTTTCACACGGTATCACTGGATAACAATAGTAATTTAAATAGCCTATTACATATTGGTTGTCAATATTATTAGGTTATCGAAACAGCCTTGGTCAGGTCGTCGAACAATCCAAGGGAACTGCTCCGGTTCCAGAGTCATCTGGTTGGTGGGCACGCATTGGAGATTAATTCTGTTAATCCTGTGCAGCTTTGGTCGGGGCTGGTGACAAACCCACGAAGTCTGGATAGTCCTGGATGAGCAGCCATTCCTGGAAATCCATCGGCAAGTCGTGCCATTTTGTCGAGTAATCTTCAAGACGTTGACCCGTAAACGTATTGACGTACAACAAACATTTCCACATCAGCCGGTACATCGTGCCTTTGAATAGACTATAGATCCAGCCGTAATACTTCTTGATGCTAAACAAAGGCAGAAAACTAACGGCGGGGGAGTACATTTTATATCAACGCAGTACCTAGTGTATAGAGTTAAGCAAAACATGTTTTCTAGTGTTTTTATTAAAATCATATTACAACTTTTCCTAGTTATGCCAATCGTACTATAAATTATTGTCAAACAGCTATATTTACTGCACCCTACTGCGTTCACCATTTATATCCTGCCGAAACACTTATATTTGAACTTAAATTATATACTTTGAATTTCTAAGGCTTTTGCTGGAAAAACATGTTGGACAATAATCGACTTACACTAATCCGTGCACAATATACCTACCTAATTTTACTAATTGCATACTATTAAATAATATTTTCGTCTCGCATTATTTCATTCTTTTTTTTACTTGATTTTTCATCTTCGAGTTTTCTTTTATAATTTAAACCAAATCGTTATTAATATTTTTTGCTCATTACTCGTTCAAATAATAGATTATAGTGTCATGATTTCTATTACTTTTAGTTTGTGTGAATCTCTAAAAGACCACCTCACCTCTTTTTACTTTATAACTAATATTACATAGTGTATAAATAATATACTTAAATGATATTTAAAACATGGACGAAATAACAAACCGATTTATATGAGAGTTAGCTGTAATTGTGATATCCATTTACCATTGTATTTTGTATTTAATACCATATTATTGTTATTATTGTATAAAAACCACGGGCTATAAAATTGCAATATTATATCAACCAATAAAAAAACTAAAAAATAGTCAACCGGAATAAAATATATTTATTTGGTAAAAAACTTGTTTTAAATAATGGTGTTGACTGTAGTTGGGTATTTCAGTATTATTAAGTGTGTTTTTATTTATTTAAGGAGCCTGTAAAATAAAGAGGGTACACTCGATATTGTTTTATTACAGATAAATTCTAGTTATATTATTACTTTTTTTTTGCGAAAGTGTGCATTTAATGTACGATTTATTATAAAATTTCGTTAAATGTTTAATTTTCTATTATTTAAATTCCGCAGCTATTAAACTGACATTAGAGTAGCGCTCACAGAAGCAGAGTTTGAATATGTAGCCCGACTTCAGTTAACTTCACCGACTTCAGTGAATTATAGAACGTCAAAGTCAATTAATAAAAATGTTTTCCAACGGTTCTATGAATAATAGGTATACAATTTCTTTGTTTTCAGAGCAACATTATATTTGTCACTTTTCTCAGAGTGAGAAGTTGAGTTCACCTCCAATACAGCAAACCGTAAAATGCTTATTTATTTTAATTTTTATATCTTTAATAAATTATAGCAATTATTTACCTATTCCGAACCGATAAATTTAATTTAGCTGACTGATTCCAACTAAACTGTGTTCAACGGCCCAGTTCAATAATTGATGTGATCGGTTTTTCTTAATGGCCAATTTGTCGATTGCAAGGTCCAACACTGATTGCAATAGAAGCAGTTTGTACGGAAAAGGCAAGAACGATATATTTTTGCCAATACCACACGATTACCTACATTTTCTCCATTAATAATTTGAACTTACGTTTGACTATTGATTATATGATATATCATAATATTATAGAATATTGATAAAATAAAGTAGGTTCACATGCTCTTAGTGTAGCCTAGACACACATATTTGTGGCGTGCCATTAACCTTAAAGTGGCCTACTGCCAGCATCATCCAACGATGACAGGTAAAAATACATTACCCATTAATTATAAAACTATATACTTTAAAATGGATTATTTTTTGGAACTCTGATAAACATATGTACCGGATAAATATAGCAATATGCTGCTAGGTATACCTTGCAAAGTACACCATGTAATGTAATATTATAGAATATAATTATTTACCACGATCGAGTTCGTTCGTTTCTGTTGAATTGTTTTTTTGACAATAACAAAAGGCTGTAATTTCTAAATGGTGTGCTTAAACTCTATTAGCCTTGTCAAATGTATATTGATAAGCTTCGAAGCACGAACCCTCAATTAAAGGAAACGAGATTATTTGGGACATGTGTACCTAAGTGTGCCTGTCTACATAGCGTTATGGTAATCGCTACAAATGTATATCTGTATTTACCTGTATACATTTCAGACATAAAACCCCGTGGCTTTGGAACCAAGGAATTACAATTTGGATTATTTATTGACCAGCCGGTAGACATTTATAATGAGTTTGTTTTTTTTTTTCTTATAATTCTATTATGAATACATTAACCTTAGTATTGTAGGGTCACTCGAAAAGCTTGGATTGAAAACTACCACCACTCCAGACGTTGAGTTGATATATTTGTTTTGTACTATTTTGATTGTCTTAAGCGTACATTGTCTTTGGAAACATATTTTGTACTCGGTGACCTTAGTCTAAATAGCTAATGACTATAATAGGCAATTATGTTGACTAGCTACAGTTAGATTGATAAAAATTTTTTTGAAATACGGGTAGGCCTGTATAATGTAAATAAGAAGAAAGTGAAATTTAAAAGAAAAATATATTATTTTATTTGACAAAACAATAATTATTCGTGAACAAATGTAACATTAGATCGAAGTATGAACGAGTCCACGAGTGAGTCCATTTGTTGAGTCCATGCGAGTGTGATTGGGGTTTATTTGCAAAAAAACATAGCCGAGTTTGGGTTCTGTAAAACAAAACACACAAGCACTATAATACAAACATCACAGGTCAATTCATAGGTATACAAGCGACTGGTTATGCAATACTTACATGGATGAGTTCGGTTCTATCGTCGGAGGAAGGTCGTGTATGGAGAATAGGTTAACGGGTATTGGTATTGGTACGTCGGATAGGTGTAGACAGACGGGTAAACGGCCTGTGACGGGTAAGTGTAGATTATTTGAGCTGATGCGACGGCGATAAGAGCCAAAGCGGCGACAACCAACATCTGGAAGAATAAATCATAATATTTGGGTATAGGTCGATGATTTATATTATATACAAACTACATAAACGTTTGTAGAGTATCACAGGAAAAAAAAAACAGAAAAATTGCTTTTTTTTTCGAACTAAGAAAAATATTGGCAAATAAATGTTTTGAAATATTAAAATAAAAATACTTAAAAACTATTGAAAAATGTTCAATTTATGTTTTTAATCGTGTTTAAAAATAAAAATACACATTAGTTTTGTATCAAAACGAATTTTATAACAACAAAATGAGTATTTTTAAAAAACAATGAAAACACCTCTACGGTTAAACTGAAATATCCATTTTAAAATCGAAATAATATGTATAGGATATGCTGTATAACATGTATAGCATACTATAACATTTATATTTCAAAAATATCGTGGAAACGTTTTAAAATAAATTTGTTGGACAGTTAAAACTGAAAACGGTTAATTTAACAGTTGAAAACAGCTTGAACAGATAAAAAACGTTTTATATTTTTGGCGGACAACATTATTCGAGAAAAATTATTTAAAAATTAACGTGCAAAACGCTTACCATTAACTTGTACATGGCGAAGAGTGTTTTTTTTTGTTGGTGTTTGGTTGAACTTGATAAGATTTCACTGCTATAGTGTTGCGATGGCTGTGGATCACTGATGTCTTCTCAAAGATTCTGTACGGTATTTATATCATTCTCATTATGGAAATTTATTTCTGGTTTTATTCGTATTTTTTTTTTTTAATATTGCGCACTTATTCGCCAATATCGGTATATTGTAATGTCTTGGTCATTTAGTATCACTATATTTGTGCATAATAATAATAACATAATATAATGAGCATACCTATCAAACAGGTTTGTATTATTATATTACTATATACATTGTGTACAAATATAGCGACAGTTGAAAATGATGTCTCTTCGCGGACGAACCGGCACTTTCGTTTATTGATATTTTGTAATCCGGTAGGTATAATATGTCCACCGGAGGACCTTGATCGTTAGACTGGAATCTTAATGGGTTAGCCGAACAAAAAGAAACACGATTTCGGCCCTTGATATTTGAACGATGGTAGACTGGAATAATTATTACAACAACAGCATTGTAAATTCAATTATTATTATTATGTTTTAAGTAGATAATATTCGCCGAACAAAATACTACGGGGTCATTCCGTTTACCTAAAACCGACCCGGTGTATCTGACCTTGTGTCTTTTAGTTTTGCTTAAAATTATTTGTGGTCACTTGTATTGGACACGACGTTAATGTCAATATTTTTAAATAAAACTTTAACTACCATAGAATAAACCACTTAGAACGATCTAGTTTTCACGATTTGTTTCATTATAATGGAAATTGTTTAAAGGAAAAATATTCTACAATTTGAGCTTTTAATCTTGACTAGAAACTTACAACTTTAAAAAAACGTATCATGAATACTTATGGAAAAATGATCACATACCCAAGTATAGTTAATATGTGTGCAAAGTTTCAACAAGGTCGTTTAAAAACTTACAGAGCTACAGGTTTCTAGAATTATAAATATTGTAAAGATGTTTCAGTTGTTCATTGTATTGATTACAAAATTGATCATTTTAATTTATCCTTCTCTTCTGCTGCTACCTTCCATAGTATATCTGGTCGAATCCTTCCCACGTCCGCTTTCACACAGTCTTCCCAACACAGTCGTGGTCTTCCCAGTGGCCTCTTAATCTTGTTCCCTTCATTTTCCTAAGTGGTGCCGTCTCTGAGGCATATGATGTCATATATACGTATTTTTAGGTTAACTGATATAGCTCTTGAGCTCAGTATTTTTCCAAGACCAAAATAGCTCTTATTACAGCTCTTTTGTATTCTAGTACTGATTTCCATTTTCAAGTTGTTGCCTTGCGTTAGATTGTGACCCAAGTACTTAAAATGTATCACCCTCTTAAAATATATGCCCTTCTACATTCATAAATAGACCTTGCTGATATTCTGTATCTTGACAACTTATCATCATGTACACCGTTTTCGTCGTTAACATTAATTGGATATTATTTGGAAATATTTTTTTTTTCGTATACAACGTCGAGTATGTTTGTTGTATTTTTTAATTATATATTTACGAATAACTATTAAACCAAATGTAAAAATATATTCTTTGAATTTGTTTTATAATAGTAAACAACTTCATGAAGTTAGCAGCGCAACCTTGGGAGATATTAATTAAACTTATCCAACAAATTTGTTGGTAGTTTGTTACAGATTTCTGATGAAGAACGAAATTTTGTTGAACCTTAATTTTACCACTAGAGCTTTTTTAAATTTTGCACTGCTAACTATTTTACACTAACTGCACAACTTTTTGTTGGCGAGTTTTTTGTTGATAAAAAATATTGTACTTGATTTGTTGAACATTGTTGGAGCATTTTAAATAATTCTTGAACCTTATTTTTACTATTAAAATAAAGTGCTACTACCCTTGGACGGATTACTTAAATATCACAAAATAGTAACTATATGTAGTTCCAAAATAATTTTGATAAATAAATAACTTTCGATCAATGTAGAAAACATTTGATTTAATGTTATTTCTATACAATATGTATTTATATAAATTATAATACTAACTAATTATAAGCCTTTCCACCTTAAACATTAAATACAAGGTTATTTCTGTAAAGGTATTATGTAATTAATACTTAAATATTCTAATTTAAATTATTCTATACGCTACCGTTATCTATGTATTTTTGTACAATTAAACAGGCTCGGATTTAATAAAACCAGTAAGGTCTTAGGGGTGAAAATTTAAACAGCCCTACAAATAAAAACCTATTATATTTTATTATAATAAGTAATAGCTAAAATATAACTCAGGCTATAGCTCTATCATAATAGTATACATTATAAATTATTTTATAAATAAAAATACTAGGATAACTCAATATTGTTTATAAAATAATCATTTTATAATTAATTAAAAAATAAAAATATACAAAAATATGGTTGATTAATTAACTGAATAATGTAATTATAATGAATAATTAATATTGTTAATATATAATAGTTAACTGTATTTTGAGTTAGTTCTAGGGTATGTTTATTGTATTGAGTGTAATTAAAAAATTCAGATCAAAATTAAAAACGAAATCACTTTTGATAATGTAAAAAAAAATTAAAATAGCGCAGTACTATTACCCTTGGACATATTACTTATAAAGCACGAAATAGTAGCATGCCATTTTAGAAACAATGCGCTGTTTATAATTCCAATGAATTACATAAGTATAAGAAATGTTTTTGTACAAACGAAAATATTCATGTAATTACATTATTAACATAAATATGTTTTTGGGTTGTACACAACCTTTTTTTTCTAACCGATTTTCGTATTGCTTTACTCATTTATACGGTTGGCTATAATGACTTACTTTATCGTTATTATTCTAAATATTAGTTTTTAAGCAAACCTAATTCATGACTTCATAACAAAAGAAACGTAACGGGCTACTTGATCATTTTCACCTCTACAAAGAAAATTTGTATATTGTTTAAATAACTACTCCTATGAAGGTAATATAAACAGTTGGTAAAAAAAAAAAGTTTGTGATCATTTGCACTGCTTGGCATGCAAATGTAAATCAATCATAACAATAACGGTTGGTTGGATTAGCCTGTATTATTTTTCTTTTTTTTTATGAATTTATCTGTTAACACTATTAGTTATACCAGCTAACTTGAATTTCCACTAAAGCGAGGGTTGTGTCAAAATTGACATTTCCACTATCGATATTATTTGCTTTTTTAGGATATTGTTTATTTTTTTCCCCCTTGTTTCTCTTTATAGAATTGCTAACAACAGCGTTGGAACTATTGTTCAATAATATTATTTGGTTATTGGCATGACACGCGGCACGATGGCATTTATTTTTTCATTACTTTAACCGAACGTACACAACCGTAGTATTTTTTATTGAGTTGAACATAAATCATGTCGATCAGTATTTGTTTATTTTTTTTTTGTATTCAAAACACACGTCAAGTATAGACAGACATTTTCAAGAGAATTGGCTAAAAAATAGAATTTCGCTTTCAATATTATAGCCGAATCGAAACTATTTCAATTTGATTTTCGAGCAAAATGCATTGTAACAATCGGATTTTGGTTTTAAGCAAATTAGGAATTTTTTTTAGCAGTAATATGTTATTTTTTGGACAACGCCAACAGCTGTACACTAACATGGACTTATTGAATAGGTAGTTATTAGGAGTCTTATGAATGATGAGTCTCTAATGTACGTTTTAAAATTAATCGATTGATAGGATATTTATAGTTTTTGAACAGGGCAGTTTGATAAGATGTAACTTTATTTTACAAAATAGGTATAGCTAATATAATATTCATACTGCATTACCTACCTGCGGGGCGTAGGCCGTTATTTGTCAAAATGCAAATCTTTTTAAATAATGTACTCGGCGACATCGACACGGTTTCGATAGGCGTTTGTTTTTCTATACCGGTTTGTTGTCATTGAATGTTAGCCAGCACGACTTGGTGGCAAAGTAAAATATGACAAGACAAAATATTATTTATCTATTACTTGTCAGCTGCCTACGATAATTTTGTAATGCTTATAATATGGATTAACGAACAGCTATACATTCATATTATTTAATCTTGTTATAGAGGTAGGTACTCTGGTTAATGCATTTTGATTTTGACGTTTTACATTTCCTACCTTAGGGAAAATGCAAATTATTATATTTATCAAAATGTATAATCACTAAAAAGCGTTGGTCGTGTCTCGTGTAATAAAGCTGGATGTAAATATTCATTATGAAACGGTAATTATTAATTTCTTTTCTTTTTTTTTTTTAATACAACTTCAATAATTTTCATGATTTTTCTTTTTAATAATTAACATATTTTACTACTCTCATTATAACGAAAAAAAAATAGTTGACTTCAGAACAACACCATTATTATTTTTATAAACAACTTCAAGTTTTAACTACACAAATATCGTGCTTATTTTTTTTTTTTTTTACAAATTGTCCAGACAAATTATAATTTTATGCCGCTTCAGACTTGAACGTTATAACTGTATACAATAAGACTTAAATCTGTAATTACCAACAAAGTGTCAAAACCATATTTGTTTTATTATCATGGAAAAATCACAGCAGATTTGTTTTCAAGGATAAAAAAAAAATGTACCTAAATAAAAAAAAAAGCTCCACTATAAATTATTAAAATAAGGCGTTAACATGACATTTTTAAATAGCAATTACAACATTTTTTTAATTGTTCAAAGAAATAAAAACGTATGAGATAATTGTCAATGAATAATTGAGTGCAAATGTTTTTGTTTATAGAGCTGTTATTTCTTTTTATACAAATCACAGGACTACAAAGAATATTATTATCACTGAGCATTCCTTTTGATCACAGCTAGATTTTGTAAAAGAAACAGTCCTTAGTCTACAACTCTTACTTTTTTTATTACTTCCCTTATTTTATTGTTGAGTTTAGTGTATTCATTCTTATTAGATTAGCTGTCCGCTTATGCTTTAATATTTATTTTAAATAAAGAGATTTCTATGGAAATAAACAATAGTTAATATAATATAAAAAAAAAAAATGTAATTAATTTCTTTTACATATTATGAAAGCATTGTCGTCGTACTGAGCATAACCGGATAATAGTTATTATTAAATTAGTAATTGTAGCGTTTATATTATAAGAGAAATAAATTATTTTGTACATTGTACTAATCCAACGTATCTTATGTTTTTAATTAAAACAATTTAACATTAGTATAATATGTCGTATAAAAGTAGGTATTGAATTCGAATAATTGTATGCGTGTATTTATTTTTTATAATATCTTATGATAATTATTGTATAACAACATTATGGCTAATGTCTTCGTAGAAGGACAACTAATAAATAATAACGACTATATTAAATTTTAAATGGGTTTGGCACCGTGCCGGAGACTTAAGTGGCACACGGAGGCTATAGTGGAAACATAATGGAATTATTTTGAAATCCTTCGATTCGTTCGTTGTTCAATTAGCCGTTTTCATTGATTGAAGCCATTAATTTCAAATTATATCATACAGAAATATTATATTTTGTAACGAGAAATGGTTGAAATTCGGTCGAGACAAAAGCTTAACATACAATAATAATACAATAGCTACAGCGAAATTGTATTTTATTCATTATTAACAGTAAGTTAAATACATTAAAGTTTCTTTTATATTTCGAGTATCTATACAATTTTTAGAGCAATGCGTCTTTAGAATAGTTTCTTCGCTGTATCTAAAAATCTTTCCGTAAAATATGAAATTTCCAGTTACTCGACCATAGTACACAGTCGGTAACGGATAAATAAAGCAGTCTTAAAACAAAGAGCATACCAAAGTTATAAAAGTTTAATAATTAAATACGTGATTCGAAATAGTTCGGCTCAATTCAAATATAATCGCACCGGCGTATACTCCTTTTGTCTATTGTTCTCTTAAATTTCTTGCCAAATATTTGTAAGGTATTGAAATACTTCCTCTTGTTCTTACAATATTAAACATAAATGGAACAGATTTCTGAAACATAAAAATACTGGTAATATCACAATTTGAAAATAACAAACAAAGGAAACGGCAAAGAAGAGATTGATGAGAAACTTTTCAAGCGTATTTAACAAAATCGACCATAACATGTGTATACATAATATGTCGATTAATTAAAAGTTAATTTTCAATAATTATGCAACGGTTATATTTCAATGTTAATCCGAGAAAATGGCTTGCTATGTTTTTTATTTAAAAAATGACTTCATATGTGACGTACAAAGATTTCTCATAGAATTACCAATGAAAGGTAAAAGTAAGCAATGCGGTTGTTAGATTAGGAGTTAACCCTTAATTTGACGATGTATCATTAAAGATATGCAAAACTGAAACAATTATTTCATTGAAAACATAAAAAATATATTACGGGCTGTTTTTATATGTTATGAGTTATTTTTTTTTTAAAGATATCATTATGGTTATTGCAATTTATAGATTTTCGCGCTATAATACTTATATTTATTATACGTTTTATATTTTATCATGTTATTATATTATTATATCGTTTTGAAAACCATGTTATCAGCTATTGTATAATTGTTTCATTTACAGTTTAAAATCTAATGATACACACTATGCTTAGTACACCGGAATAATTATTAGTTGTATCCATAAAGTTGAATTACCCTTTTCATTTATTTTCGCAGTTTTATTCAAAAGATACAATGCCATAAAAGTCAAATTTTTAAAATTTTATAATACTAATTAATAATTAGACACATTATTTTTTTTTTTTTGTGCTAATAGGTGTTTATTATTTTATTACGGTAAATACAATGCCCATTTTTTAAATGCAGGCGAATTTTTAACTAATTTCCTATAAACAAATTTTTTTAATTTAATACAAATAAACATACTTATACACGTAGTTCAAAGAATAATACTTAATTTACGTAATTCATAAAATACTAATTAATATTGTTTTTTTCCTTTTTTTTATCTTAATAGGTCGATGAGGTAATGCATCTTTAAAGATAAAACTATTAAATTAGTCAATAGGGTGGTGTATCTTTAAAGATACACGTTATAATTAAAAAACTGTCTTAGTTAGTAAGAAAAACATGGTTTGGTATATTCGAGTTAATTTCGGTAACATTGACTTTTACCTATGACATTTTTCTTACCACCAAAAGTCGCGTGAGTATAGAATGTATCGAATTTCAACGAATTTGGCGGCGGATACCTTTTTTTTTTCTTTTCTATATTTTGTTGTTATTGGAACGTTAAATTTTATTGTTGAAATTTAATTGAAACGAGACGTTAAAAATAACGAAGTTATGGTTTTTGTTTTTATTACGCTCGAGTAGACAATAAAATGGAAAACGATAAAAAAATATATATAATATAAAATCTGCCCCTGTACACAACGCTGTCGCGTACCCTATTGAAAACCAACCCTCATTTACCCATATATATATATATATATTAAAATTGTTATACATGTATATAAAATATGTGATATATAATGTAGTGTACCTATATAGGACTTATTAACCGCTCCGCGGTCGAGTGTGTTAACCTTTTTTTTTTTACTTCTTTTTTTCGGTTCGCAATGCTGACTCTGTCAATACCGGCGTGTGTTTATCGGTCGTCCATAAAAAAATATTATAATACATTACCATAAGTTTAATGCCATGCCACTATATTTGTATACTTGTGTTTCGTTTGCGGTTCGAGCGCCGGAGTCGCATAACATAATAATAATAATATTATAAGAATCGCTGTATAACATGATGAACGTGCAGAGGGCGGAAGCCGGATAATATTTTAACGGCTTCTTCACAAAAAGCATGCACCAGCGCCCCGAAAATAATATAGTATAGGTATGTTTCCATAATACAATATATTTTTACAAACAATAATGTACAACAGCGCAACAGTAATAACACCTACGCCTATTCCCGTTTGGGTTTTGTTTTTTAATTTCTATTTGAAAACAATGTCTAAAATAATAATTATGTGTAGTTCTTTTGAAGATTTTATTCAAACATTCGTTCCGCTAAAAATATAATAACACATTAAAGTGTTAGAGTATAAAATTAAAAAAAAAATGATTTTACCATAATCTGTAAAAAAAATGTAATATTCTATGTTTAAAAAATTAAAATTTGTATTTTAAAATAATATCTATTGTTACGTACACCTAGCTTTTAGTATCACATATCTGTGTAGTTAACATTTTTATTTATTTGTATTATATTTTTTTCGTTTTTTTCAAATAATTGTTAATTCTAGATAAGTATCCTTGCTCTTCGATAGGAGGTTTTATATCCCAGTGGAGAATAAGCTAGTAGTTTTAGCTTTACTTCTTATTGTTTTTCTTGTACCTACCTACATACTTATACTAGCAAATTAATAATAATAATAATGTCAAAAATTAACATTTTTTTGTCGACAACTTTTATCATATTTTTTTCTTCTATGAAATACCGAGTTATTTATTAAGGGCAGGACACTCATTTTTTTTTGAAAACATTTATGTTTATCTTAGTTTGCAACTACATAAAATTACTAAATATTTACCTTTTTTAGTATTTTTCATGGCTCTAGCAACTTTTGAAGCTGAAGCGGTAACGTATTTAATAAATTAGGAATAATTCGCCGGGCGTTTTCACCAACCAGTTGATAACTAGTTTTTGATTACTATTATTTGGGTTATTAAAATTTATAATATAATATAGGACGGAATGAAGGATGGAGTGCTATATTGTTTTAATCTTTAAACACTAGTAACATTACATGTTATGCGTTATAAGATGTACCCTACAGCATACGGTATACGTATGTATACTGCACTATGGCTAAAGAATTTTAAAAATCGAAAAAACGCTGATAAAAAATTAAAAAGAACAAATTTCCATTGGACTTACGACCATCAGGGTACTCAATACTGAAACTATGTAGGCTAAACTCTACTTGACAATTGTAAGGACAGTCGTTGCGACCGGCCGTGTTATTCCTTCGGGCAATACCCATCCGTCATGACAGGCGTATCTAATAATTAATAATATAATAATAACATTATTATGAAAGTATCACACACACTATAGTCGGCGTGGACTGACTGCGATTCGGCCGGGGCGTGCGCCGTTCAGCGCCAGAACCGCGTCCAATCGTGGGGTGGCTTTTGCGCGCGCCCTCGGCCGTTGAAGCTTTACAACGGCCAAAGGAAACACCACCGGAGTGCCCGGTATTCGCGCGTGATCTGTCGTACCTTGTCGTCGGCCTTTGGTGCTGTTTCTGCCGGCGGTGGTTTTACGGAGACGTTCAACGGAGTCCTGCGAACGACGTGAGTTTAGTATTACATTATTAATCATTATTTTACAAATAAAATTGCCTATAAAAAATATGTTATAAATTGCATGATAATTTTAAATACGGCCGTGTACGGTCAACAAACGCGACAATATAATATATGTTGTTTTTACGCACTTAACGTATATTTTATAAATAAATAATATCATAGGATTATTACAGGGAATATATTTTATCGAGGGAATATAGTTTATTAGTTGTTGATAATTTGTTTTTTTTTTTAATAAATATAGATATAGTTTTGATTTAAAACGGTCTAGGAAATTCAAAATAGGTAAACATATTTGTTTGCTTTTATCGTCATCGAAGATATCGAGCAAAAATTAATTTTTCATTACTATATTATGTTATAGCCTTTAAAATACGGTTCAATAAAATGAATTACGTCTTTGACCGCTGTTGTATTTTAATTGATAAACTATGATTACGTTTGTTAATATTTAGAGCTAAAATAATATTTAAAAACTATGTAAGCTAAGCGTTGAAGCTATTAATTGTAAAAAATGTACATATTATTCCGTGAAAAGATATATTTCTGAAACCGTTCTAATATTCAGAGAGTTTATTTAGTTAAATAATGTCAATGGCAAACAGAAAGTGTATGTAACATTAAATAAATTACTTTTTTCCGTGCAAATAATTGAAATCGTTTAAAAACGACATTTTGTTGATATAGACGAGGTCTTTATTGTTAGCTAATGTTGATTTTCTTAAAATAAACATTAAGTGATACAATGATTAAAATTGCGGTAAAACGGGTTTCTTCACGCTCGCAAAATAGTTATCCGGTTAAATTAATTTAATTCAACTCGGGCATTTCAGCAGATTAACGCTCATCCCTTTTAGCCTCTTCCCATTCCGGTCAAGACATCATAAGACATTTTGCTAACGCGTTGCGGCTTACAACACACACGACAACCGTCTTTGTGGGTCATTTACAATTGTAGGCTATTATATTATATTATTTTGTTTTACCGAGCTATAACACTGTGGTCAATGGTGGCCGTTGGTATAAACCGTGGGTAAACTCGCGGCGGAAGTCCGGTTGCTGGACTCGATTCGCCTTATTTCCATAAAAGAGCTCGCTTAACTATACCCACAAGACACTAGTAGGGTTCATTGTTGGACGCTGCTTTTTATATGCATTTCGGCATTCATAAAAAAACCAATCCAAATTTCCAATTAAGTTCAACAAAACAAATTCAATAATGCTGTTTGGCGCGAAATCAAAACGCTCAAGTTTAACCCAAGACAAGGTATGACTTTCCGTTTTTGCCAAGCTTACGCCGAAGACAATAACTATTGGCCGAGTCGGGGGATTGGTTTATTTTTGTTTCTTAATATCAGTGCAGTTTATTCACAAACTTCATCGAAGTTTACCGCACAAAGGACAACCGTATTGGCACGTGAAAACTAGGTCGCCAAAAACAATAGGACGGCCGCGGTGTATATTTTATTATTTATAAACAGAGTGGGTAGGCCAAACGACAAAGTCCTGGGCCAAGTGTTTGCACTTCTTTTACAAACACATTGGATATTGAATGAATCCGAAAGGCGCAATAAAACGTTAACGCTTTTGCCACGATCCGTTATTTACCATTTTATATTTTATAGGTTATTAAACGGCTATACCAATAACGAAAACCGAGCGAAACGAAACAAACAAAACTCCACTGCTTATTGAAACTTTTCTCCTCGTTGAATACCATCGCTCGCCGAATTTTACATATTTTATACGATAAATTGCCAATGAAAGTGACATTTTGTTTCAAAGAATTTTTCTCAAAACAAAAGAAAAACTCAATCTCTTGGCGGAAAAACAAAATGTCAGACACTTGTCAGTCCCGGCCTAAGTTTTCTTTCCGGTTGTTCTATGATTTAAGCGCGAACAGCCTTAAATGGCAGGTAATGGAACTAATTAGAAAGCGCCCCTGAACACCAATTATTGGACCCTTCTCAATAGCGTTTTAAGAGAGGTAAATACAATTTGGCCTATCGAAGGCGACTCATGGCTAGGACTTTTGTCACTTCGCTTGAATTTAGTTTTCCTCGACGGTTTCCCACTTATAATTGATTTCATTTGGGTATATGCAGCGGAAATACACTCTGTATACAGCTTCTTTAAAAACAAAATTTCCGTTCGAATTGTATACTCAGTACAAAACGTTTTACCCTACAACGTGACCCTTGTAAGACAATTTTTTTGTAAATTATTAACGGCCACGGCTCTTGGGTTCTGTTGGCTTATCATTGGACCCGCGAGACCTAAGCGGATTAATAAATGATGCATTTTACGTTCGACCGGCATATAGAAAGCGACAAAGAAAAAGTAAAACACGGTTTTCACTTAACCGCAGTTGACTTCAATATTTGTTTGGCGTTCATAATTAATTGTTTTGTGTTTGTTCAAAATGAAAAACACACTGTGCGTTTCTGTTGAACTTAAACAAGTTGTACGGGTCGTATAACGTTTGTTCGAGTTATATTTTATTCATCCGCTGTTAATTGTGTTTCTCCTTCTACCTGTTCGGTAAACCCCTTATCGTTTCGGGCAGTATATATAAAAAAAGCGTGATTTTGTTTTTTCCGCGCTTTCACAAAACACTTCATCAATCATTTTTTTTTTTGCGTTCAAACAACGTCGACGATGCCCGACGTAGCCAATAGCTACTGTTTATAGGATATCATGGAATAATGATATAGTTATTGTATTAGCCATTAGGTATTTTCCCTGACCCGGAGGCTGTACAAGACCGGTGATGAAAGTTACGCTTGTACCAATTTCCAGAGGATTATTTCCACCGCACTCGAAGATAACGAGAAAAGCGTATAGGCTATTTTTATTTCAGACCACTCACGTTGCAAAAAAATAAAAATAAAAAATAAATGTAATAACACTTTTACCGCCGTCGCAGTGATAACGTTAAAGGGAAAACCGCAGGGATAAATTTTCAAGAAAGCCTATAAAAAAACCATAAAAAAACTAGTACGGTGCGCTAATGTATTGCGTTTATAATCTTAGAAAATTGTATGATAACATTTATTAATTTATATAATGTTCTTGCGCGGTAACCACTACTATTGAATCCCGCCAAGACCGATTTAAAAAATCACAATCGGTTAGCTTGCTTGCATTGATATCACTAGCTTGATGAAGAAAGCAGCTGACAGGTCTTGTGCGTGCATTAACGTCGGTTAGGTTAGATTGCACGGCCACGTCTTGTCAACACCGACGACACACACAGAGTACAGACCCTTCAGCTGCAAACGTATCCCTTAGTAATTGGCAGGTATCCTGTTCAGTTTTCACCCTGTATAAGGCGTACAGAAATCAATCCTATGATATTATGTTTTTAGTGTATTAAAATAAATACCGTAAAATTGTACAATGCTGTTTATATCAGTTAATTAATGAATTAATTATAAAAATTGCATGTAAATTGGTTTGGTAGTAATTTATAGATACAAAAGTAGTAGCATACTCTTACATGGTCTATTAGACCATGATTATATATTATTTTAACAATAGTACCAACAAAAATTGTAGTAATGGAAAAAATATTATTTTTAATGGGCAAACAAATTTAAATCAAACAAAACTTAAATTGAAAAATTCTACGGTTGAATTTTTGTTAAGGACAAACTACAAGTAACATTCCGGTAAACTTATTCAAAAGATCATCAAGAACGTTTGAAAAGTCTTAAACGCATTTTTTCGTTTTCTGGTGTCTCTTGCATATACGTCTTACGGTTTACAAAACGATTATTATTAAATCCGATTAAAAAAAAAAAAAACCGTCTACGTATAAAAAAACAAAAATACATGCACGTAGTCGAAAAGTATTATACCAAAATATGGTTTAATGCTTTTATAACGAAGACTTTGTACAGACCAAAATTACAAAATAATATATGCAACTGTAAAATTTAAATATGTTCTAACTACCAACACATTAACATTATATTGGCGTGCCCAAAAATTGTCTACACGTCTTGCCGGTTAACTCATACCATATAGTTATTTAGGTCAAATGATGGCAAGAGTTACTATTATTAATTCATTCTTTCCATTCCCTCTTCTCGGCGTTATTAATCCTTGAATCCTTTGTTTCAGCCCTCCACGCCTCCCTGTTGTAGCTTAATAATTCCTTTAGACTCTAATAGTTTTCCTACATCATGTCCTTCATGATTTGTCTCTCATATATTCCGCCCTTTGTCTTTCTCTTCCAACGTATCGTTCAACATCCCATTTAATTACTGTTTTTAGTAAGCTTTCATGACTTTATATATTCCCTATCGCCTTATTTCTTCTGGATTGAATACTTTGCCACAATTATCGTTTTTCCTTTATCTTGTCTAACACCTCTTCGCTTGTGACACTATTACAGTCCACGGAATCCTTAGCATTTTTTGGAAGCACATCTTGAAGTCTTCACCTCACTTTTTTGGAGGCTAATTTATTGGAGCTAATTATTCAGCTTTCGCAACCGAACAGCCACATGTTCCGTACATAACATGTACCTTCATTATAATTTCTTCCTTATATCCAGATTTACTTTATAAGTAGTCAGTAGATAGTTCTTATCTTGAAAAGTCCATTTCGCCTTAGCAATACTAATTGTATTCATTTTACATCCTCTGGAATTCTGTTTGCTAGCAGAATGTTATGTTGTATATATTTTTTTTATTTGTTTCTTATCTATTATTAAGCTGAAACATGCTTTTATTATAATACACATCATGGGTTTTGTTTTTTTATGTTCATTAATTGCGTTCCATATCTATTCAGTTTAATTCTCCTAGCATATTTTTAAGATCTTTTTCTATCCAAATTACTATGTGGTAACGCAAACAACAGCTTCACCTCCTATTCGAACTCTTTTGTTTTCAATTCTTTCATTGCCTCTTTAGTGCACAATTTAAACAACACCACAGATATAATACACCCTAGCCTTATTACTCTTTTTGTTATTT